GCAAAAGGGATGTCAGAAGAAGGGAAGCATAAGATCGAGAGATTTGGATCAGGACTTCGGAAGGAGAACGGTGACTATTTTGTTGGGCTCTTAGCAGCGCGACTTCCTCATGGCAACTCCTTTTCGAAAGACGACGTTGGACATAAGAGCCACCCAACGGTAGGATTCATGCGGAGATCGATCACATTCTCACCAACCGAGGTGCTACCTAATGGACTTCTCAGTGCTACCATTCTTCAATTCACCAATCTAAATGCATCACATCTCTAGCGACTGGTAGCCAATATCAGTTGTAAAGCAGCTTTACAAGAAGATTTTAAATTAGTACAGGCAATCGAAACTTGTGGAAACAGCACAAGGAAGGAGACGTCTAAAGAAATACCGCATAGATCTTCTCGACTACCGTATTCCGCTGACAACACTAATAAACGAAGACGGGACTCGCGCATCTTCCCGACAGAAAATGGGATCTATCACAAAGAGACACTATACCGATTTTTTCCGTTTATGTGCCACACTCCGTTACTGCACTGGAGAATTACACCACGAATTATTACTGAAGTACGCGCCGCAGTCCAAACCATGAAGGCAGCCATGGCACTTGAGCGCACTACGCTTCGGCCAACCTTTCAGAGCTAGCATTGCCTATGCGAGTTACTTGCGAGGTACCTAACGTCCTACCTTCAAAAAGAAGGATACCTGACCAGTGGGAGATTTTCTGAGAATTTTCCTTCATAAGAAGGGCGATAGGGAGGATTTCTGAACTAGGGTCCAATATGCCTGCTGAACATGCTCTTCACGGTTTTTACGAAGATTATTTTACTTGCATATCAAGGACACTGGATGAGATCCAACCTGTAGAACAAACTGGATTTCGCAAGGGATTCAGCTGCGCCGAACAAATCCAGTCGGTTTCGAGGGTATCAATTTACCGAGAGTGCCCCCCTCTCGTCCTAGCCTTCGTCGACTATGAGAAAGTGTTTGACAGCGTCGAGACTAATGCCATACTATCAGCGCTTGTCGTCCAAAGCGTGGACCCATCATTCATGAGATTATCGACCGACTGCTCCACTGCTCCACAACGGTACAGCTTTTCCATCGCCCCCTCAAG